AGACAGAGTCTCACTCTGTCACCCAGGCTGGAGTGCAGTGGTGCGATCTCAGCTCACTGCAACCTCCTCCTCCCAGGCTCAAGAAATTGTCTTGCTTCAGCCTCCTGAGTAGCTGGGATTACAGGCGTGCACCACCACGCCCAGCTAATTTTTGTATTTTTAGTAGAGATGGGGTTTCACCATGTTGACCAGGCTGGTCTGGAACTCCTGACCTCAGGTGATCCACCTGCCTCAGCTTCCCAAACTGCTGAGATTACAGACGTGAGCCACTATGCCCAGCCCAGGTCTGTTTTTGATGTGACAGCATGGTGGGGAAAGGGTCCCCAGGGGCTGGGAGTGGGGTAGTCAGATGGACCAAGTCCCGCCAGCTTGCTGTGTGTTCCTGGGCATGTTACATTTCATAAACTCTTTGCACATTTCCTAAGGGATGAAACAGGTGTAATTTTAAAAGGGGGCTTTAGGCAGCGGGGGTTGGAGCATGTGCAAAGGCCCTGAGGTAGGGCCAGGCGGGTCATGAGAAAAGCTTGTGGGGTTGCTGAGACCTAGGGGCTCACAGGAACTGAGCAGAGCCTCGAGAGTCTTGGCGAGTTGTGTGGGTTTCATTCTGAAGGCACTGGGGAGCCATGGGAGAGTTTGGAGCCAGAGAGAGAGGTAGTAGTCACACTGACTCTGCAGGCCCTGGGCAGGGTTTCAGCTCTTAGGAGAGAAGGAGGTGTCTGTCCGTGTGCAGAATAGATGCAGCCTCAGTTTCCCCACCCTGTGCAGAGTCCTGAGACTCCAGCAGCCCCAGAACACAGTGGGCCCTCTGCCAGGGAAGCCCCACCCCACTCCCACCCCACCCCGGAGCTCCCAAATGCTGGCTCTGCCGCCCACACGGCCTCCTCTCCGCCTGTCCCCCCATCCCACGCTCCTTCTGTGGCCTTGAGGGAGCAGCTGTGGGAACAGAGAGCAGGAGCCCGTGGGGAAGGCGGCTCGGAGGGGCTCTGGGGGCCGTGTTCCTGCTTGGTGACAGCCCACGCGGGGCTGCTGGGCGCCGAATGTTCTCACAGCAGCCGGGTGACTCACACGCTACGGTCTCTTCCCCGGGTCTGCCAGAGGGAGCTTATTCCTGGTCCCCAGGCACAGCCTGGGGCTCTGGCTTGGCCACTTGTGCCCTGGCGGTGGCCTCTAGGATCCCCACCCCCACCACCAGCACACACCAAGGGACACCTCTTTT